GCGGGGACACTAAAAAGCCCCGAAATCATCTCAAGATAACCTCAAGATAACATTGTCCAATGCTAATGATATATAACAATATACAGCATGATAACATACTAACTCTTTGTTATTTGTGTTATAATGTATTACTCAGGAATGCTAGAAGGGCACCAGCTGCATATTCATTTTGTGGATCATCATTACTACTATTCGTCTTCTTTGTGCGTCAGACAGGTGCTTGTATCTCTTTATCACTGTATTATCCCTCAGTTCCAGTTAATAGGAGCTGTTCTCCCTATCATCAGCGCGGGTTTTATTTTAATAGTATAAAAATCCATTTTTTAACATATTGGGATCAAATTTACACGACGCTGATGCCAAGTAATTGGAGATTTGTATATTTTCAAGTAATTTTCATATTCGAATATTTTTTTCGATACCTGACCCCTTAAAGGAAGCACTCTAGAAAATATATTGAGAAGTACATGTCAAATAAGAAAAAACAAGTTTTTTGAGTCGCACTTTATTCGTAAGGTTCTATCGCATTTTTGTTTGTAATAATATTCCAGCTCGAAATACGTTTGTAATTTTGTTTTCAGATTATTGTATTTGGTTTGAGTTCGTCGAGACAATAGATGGCAGCGCTCTACAGTACATAGAGGGGTTCCCCGCATCTATTTGCAGTAAATATCCGATATCTCTCTTCTGGGTTTGTACTCACCTAACTGTACTCACCTAGTGGATGTGTAGTGTTGGGTTTGTGTGTGTTTGTGTGTGTTTGTGCTCATCTATTTGTACTCACCTATTTGTACCTGCAGGATCGTCGCATTGACTCTAGGATCCCGCCTTTCTAGCCGCCGGTTGTTTAAAGCAATGACCCAGTCTTATTTTCCCATCATATCTAGTTTTAAAATAATGACTAGAGTTTGCTTCCACAACCTGCTCCTTAAGTGCATTCCATTTGGAAATTACCTCTTCATATTTAGCTGCATGAAAGAATTAATGTGCGAACCTCTGGGAGATGGATTCAGCATGGATAATGAACATGTTTCGTTCACGTACTAAACACCAGTTACTAGTCATTCAAGCTTTCCAACTAATCCATCAAATCAGCATTCTACAGTCTTTCATTATATTCAACAATTAAACAAAACAAAAATTATGCATGCATCTGTATCCCTTAATTTTATCCTTAAAAGATACTAATATTTGTCACAATAATAATATTTATAGAAACAAAATAGTATTAATAGCAGTAATGATATTGTAACAAAGCTTCAATGTATCTGTAAACATTACTCAAGGGATTACTAATCTAAACTCTTCGTATGAGGAACATGATAGCCAACTACGGTACATGCGGAACATGATAGCCAACTACGGTACATGAGGAACATGATAGCCAACTACGGTACATGAGGAACATGATAGCCAACTACAGTACATGCGGAACATGATAGCCAACGACGGTACATGCGGAACATGATAGCAAACTACGGTACATGCGGAACATGATAGCCAACGACGGTACATGCGGAACATGATAGCCAACTACGGTACATGAGGAACATGATAGCCAACTACGGTACATGCGGAACATGATAGCCAACTACGGTACATGAGGAACATGATAGCCAACGACGGTACATGCGGAACATGATAGCCAACGACGGTACATGCGGAACATGATAGCCAACTACGGTACATGAGGAACATGATAGCCAACTACGGTACATGCGGAACATGATAGCCAACTACGGTACATGAGGAACATGATAGCCAACGACGGTACATGCGGAACATGATAGCCAACGACGGTACATGCGGAACATGATAGCAAACTACGGTACACTAATCAAAGAAGCAGCTGCCTCTCTCATGACTTTACATGAGGCTGGGGGCAGGACGGGACGCGTATGTGATCAGATTGCTAAGGGTGAATCCTCTTCGGCGAGTCGGATGGGAAAAGAAACACGCATCTATCCGAGTTCGCTTCCATCATCTTAATGAAGAGTTGGATTCGACTACAACCAAGCTGAAATGCGATGCGCGACGCTGGTGTAGATTCGCTCTTTCTCGGATTCTGTGGAAGCTAAATGGATTCGGATTCTGTGGAAGCGTTGGTCAGCTTAGGAGAACACGTAAATAATTTTAGTGCACTTATTAGTTTTCAGGAGTGTGTGTGTGTGTATGTGTGTGTGTGTGTGTGTGTGTGTGTGTGTGTGTGTGTGTGTTTATGTGTGTTTGTGTGTGTGTGTGTGTGTGTGTGTGTGTGTGTGTGTGTGTGTGTGTGTGTGTGTGTGTGTGTGTGTGTGTGTGTGTGTGTGTTTATATGTGTGTGTGTGTGTGTGTGTGTGTGTAAGATCATTAGGAACAGTCAATAAAGAACTTTCGGAGAAAACTCTTGCCATCTTATCCCGAAGAATCTCTGATGAACTTTCACAGACAACTTTGCTCTCTTATCCAGCTCATATAATTATTGACCTTGCCAGATCATATTGATCTTACTGCCGGCAGCGCCACCTGGACAACCAGCACTAATTGGCATTCAGTTGCCAACCACACATGCGTAGTTCCACACTAACTGATTGACAAGGAGAATCACCAGGCTTATGGACCTAAGTAGATGAATTTCTTTCCCTGCTAAGTTACTCGTGATGCTGCCATCAACATTATTATATCTTGTAAGCCATTGTAACTTGTGCAGTTAAGACCTAATGTAAATAGATTTTTACACAGTGGGAACAGAAACATCGACGCAGCAAATGACAACACGGAGGGTGTGTGCATGGAAACCTATGCTTGTGGCAGATGTGTGAATTGTTTAAAGGAAATATATGAATAGAAACACAACATTGAGGCGAAGGGATGTTGCAGCTTTGTTCAGAACTTACAGCTTACGTTTTCCACAATGAGTTTATAAGCTGTGGATGTGACTTTATCGAGACTAGTCTAGGTGCTGGAACGAGAGCATACTTGTGTTCGAGTGCTCTGAGTGGAGGCAGATCATGCAATCATGTTCCTACCGAGGGAGAGTGAAGGCAGAACGTGCACTTCTGCTCCTAGAGTGAAGACAAATCATATCATTCCACCTCCTACCTGCGTTTTTTTATTAGATCTCGTTCAGTGGTTTACCAGACACTGCAGAGTACTTGAAGTCCGTGTGTGCGTCTCACACGGACTTCCTAATATGATAGAAAGCTTCCTAATATGATAGAAAGCTTCCTAATATGATAGAAATATATGAACCTGAACCTCGCATTCACACAGCTTTGAACTGTTGTAAAATGGCTTACACTTAAAAGTAGGTTTGTTTATCGAATATGATTACAGTAAAAATATACAAAATATCCCTGTAGCCAATCTCGTTTTTCATCCATCTTATGTCAATATTGAAGTACATGCACACACCTGTTGTCTTTTCTCACAAATGAACTATTCATACTGACTATTTGTAATAGTATATTTTAATAGAAAATTGGGATTAGCATTAACGTAACTTCTGGTAAGAATATAAAAAGCTTTCGGAACCAAAATAAATAATCATTCAAAATATATTGTACACCTCCTGTGTTTGACCATTCCAGGCAAATACAGTACATTTGAAATTTTACATCAGTTGAGGATAAAAATAAATTTTCCATGAGGCTAATATCGGAAATTCGAAATTTGAACTGCGATTACAGGCTAAGAGAGAGTTGGGGGGGGGGGGGAGATGCTGAGGAGATATAGTCACGATCTACAAGTTGCTGAGTAGAAGTGGACATTGAACAGGATGGATCAGTTTAGGGGAAATTCGAATGTTAGTACATGAAAATTTACAACACACGTGGATTACAAGACAGATGGAAGTATTTCTTCATCTTATGAGTGGCAAATATGTGGAACACAAAATAGAGGTTGAGATCAATTCAATACACGGTTAAGGAGTAAATTTATCAGAGACAAAGGGAATTGCGAGTTGGGGGTACATCAAAGGGGCCTGACAGCTGAGTGGACAGCGCTTCGAATTCATAGTCCTGAGGTTCCGGGTTCGATCCCCGGTGTAGCCGGAAAGAAATGGGCAGAGTTCCTTTCACCCTGATACCCCTGTTATCTAACAGTAAATAGGTACCTGGGAGTTAGATAGCTGCTACTGGCTGCTTCCTGTGGGTGTGTAACAAAAAGGAGCCCTGGTCGAGGACCGGGCCGCAGGGACGCTAAGCCCCGAAATCATCTCAAGATAACCTCAAGATAACGTGTCCAATAGAGGCAGGGGCCATACATTAACCTCTTCTACCCGATCGTAGTAAATCGTTAAATAAGATTTTTTCGGTGCTGGAGTTAGAAAAATGTAGAGCTAGACAAAGCTGATTGAAGCTGAGTGTTCATTTTCAAACATATATTATGATCTGAAGAACAGACATGAAACTACAACGTTTTCCAAAGAGGAACGTTTAACAAAAGTATAGGAACGAAACTATGACGTTTTGGCGCTGACGGTTGAATTTGTGAAACAAATCTAAGTACACACACACACACACACACACACACACACACACACACACACACAGCCACTTTCGGGGCGTCGATGGCTGTGTCGACAGCACGCTGGACACGTAAATCCTGTTGCCCGGGTTCAATTCCCGGCACCGGTGAGAAACAAAAATGGTCAAAGTTTTTTTTCACGCTGATGCCCCTATTACCTAGCAGTAAATAGGTACCTGGGAGTTAAACAGCTGTTACGCACTACTTCCTGGAGTGTGCGCGCGCGCGTGTGTGTGTGTGTGTGTGTGTGTGTGTGTGTGTGTGTGTGTGTGTGTGTGTGTGTGTGTGTGTGTGTGTGTGAAAAAAACAATAGTAGTTAGTAACAGTTGACAGTTGTGAGGCGGGCCGAAAGAGCAGAGCTTACCCTCCGAAAGCACAACTAGGTGAATATAGATACATTCAAGAGCTAACAGGTCTATCCCACAGATACAAAGAGTATATACACACACACTTTGCATCTCCTCTTCTCAGCATATTCAGCCAGCTTCGTTATGATACCCTTAAATATCACCTACAGTAATAGCAGCAGTAACACAGTAAGTCAATTACGCAGCTTTATTTACAAAAATACTTAATACCTGCAATTAGCATATATTAACAAAGTGGTCAATTGCTAACTACAACGTTAGTTCAGACGCGAGGTACTCAGCAACGGCCAACATGGCCACTCTGCAATTAATATTAAATAAATGGTCGATTAAGAAATTGTTTGCATTAAAGGAGAATTATAGATATGTATCTTTGGCTTTGCATTTCATTATGTTTCCATCGCTTAACTCCGCATAAACTTACTTGGTCAATTGTGCTTTAAACGTTGCACACTTTGAGGTAAGATATTGAGGTAGGGACCAACAGGCCGCAGAGACCAACAGGCCGCAGAGACCAACAGGCCGCAGGGACCAACAGGCCGCAGGGACCAACAGGCCGCAGAGACCAACAGGCCGCAGAGACCAGCAGGCCGCAGGGACCAGCAGGCCGCAGGGACCAGCAGACCGCAGGGACCAGCAGACCGCAGAGACCAGCAGGCCGCAGAGACCAACAGGCCGCAGAGACCAACAGGCCGCAGGGACCAGCAGACCGCAGGGACCAGCAGACCGCAGGGACTAGCAGACCGCAGGGACCAGCAGACCGCAGGGACCAGCAGACCGCAAGGACCAACAGGCCGCAGGGACCAGCAGACCGCAAGGACCAACAGGCCGCAGAGACCAACAGGCCGCAGAGACCAACAGGCCCCAGAGACCAACAGGCCGCAGGGACCAGCAGACCGCAAGGACCAACAGGCCGCAGAGACCAACAGGCCGCAGGGACCAACAGGCCGCAGGGACCAACAGGCCGCAGGGACCAGCAGACCGCAGGGACCAACAGGCCGCAAGGACCAACAGACCAATAGACCGCAGGGTCGTATTATGCCCAACACCACCCGTGGAGATGCTAAATTAGACCTTGCAAGGGAGTCTTTAGAGCGACCAGGATTATATAGGAAGCCTCCTGTGTTGTTCATTATCAGCCTCCTCCCAAGCCTAAACTTGTGAATGAATGGTGCATGAATAAATCCGTATTTCTGAATGAAATATACATGAATGAACCAGAAATTCTGAAAGAAATATGCATGAATGAAATATACATGAATGAACCAGAAATTCTAAAAGAAATATGCATGAATGAAATATACATGAATGAACCAGAAATTCTGAAAGAAATATGCATGGATGAAATATACATGAATGAAACAGAAATTCTGAAAGAAATATGCATGAATGAAATATACATGAATGAACCAGAAATTCTGAAAGAAATATGCATGAATGAAATATACATGAATGAACCAGAAATTCTCAAAGAAATATGCATGAATGAAATATACATGAATGAACCAGAAATTCTGAAAGAAATATGCATGAATGAAATATACATGAATGAACCAGAAATTCTGAAAGAAATATGCATGAATGAAATATACATGAATGAACCAGAAATTCTGAAAGAAATATGCATGAATGAAATATACATGAATGAACCAGAAATTCTGAAAGAAATATGCATGAATGAAATATACATGAATGAACCAGAAATTCTGAAAGAAATATGCATGAATGAAATATACATGAATGAACCAGAAATTCTGAAAGAAATATGCATGAATGAAATATACATGAATGAACCAGAAATTCTGAAAGAAATATGCATGAATGAAATATACATGAATGAACCAGAAATTCTGAAAGAAATATGCATGAATGAAATATACATGAATGAACCAGAAATTCTGAAAGAAATATGCATGAATGAAATATACATGAATGAACCAGAAATTCTAAAAGAAATATGCATGAATGAAATATACATGAATGAACCAGAAATTCTAAAAGAAATATGCATGAATGAAATATACATGAATGAACCAGAAATTCTGAAAGAAATATGCATGGATGAAATATACATGAATGAACTAGAAATTCTAAAAGAAATATGAATGAATGAAATATACATGAATGAACCAGAAATTCTGAAAGAAATATGCATGAATGAAATATACATGAATGAAAACTAATTTCTGAATGATCAAAAGCATGAATGAACTCGAAATAATAATCATTCTAAATATTATTAGATAATCAGGATAATGATTTAACTCCACTGATTACAATTCCTAAAAAATAAATCCAGTAACAACGATATGATTTACATTGTTTTTAATTCAGTAATATGAATATGTACAAAAAATAACTAAACTAAACACGATTTCACAGTTTATTTGAAGCACAAACATGGTATTAGTTCACCTTTTTATTTATACTATTTTCATTAATTAGAAAAAGAGGGAGGTGGAATGGCAGACAGACATCCCTTGATAGTTAAAGGGACACCCTCTCCCTCTCTCTCTCTCTCTCTCCTTCAGTTGTGTGGGTGATGATACCCATCTTGAGGTTATCTTGAGATGATTTCGGGGCTTTTTAGTGTCCCCGCGGCCCGGTCCTCGACCAGGCCTCCACCCCCAGGAAGCAGCCCGTGACAGCTGACTAACACCCAGGTACCTATTTTACTGCTAGGTAACAGGGGCATAGGGTGAAAGAAACTGCCCATTGTTTCTCGCCGGCGCCTGGGATCGAACCCTGGACCACAGGATCACAAATCCAGCGTGCTGTCCGCTCGGCCGACCGGCTCGACCACACACTTAATACACCACACACTTAATACACAGCTATGTATTAACTTCTGGGACTAGAATGATACACTGGCGTCAGTCCATGTGTAGTACAATGAATCATTGACAACGTCAGAGTACACTTGGGACCAAAACAATGTTATTTACTAGTTAGTTCTAGTTACAGAGGCTGTCTTCAGAACGACAACACACTTAGGCTTCAAATTTTACCTATTTTGTTGGTAAATAAGTTCTCCAAAACACCCCGTCCAAGTGAAGATCTAAAGTGAATGTAAATTGCATTATATTTTAAATTTTAAAAAAATATGTATACTTTGTATATACTTTGTCAACGATGCCTACTATACGCTCAGGTCGACGCAGGCAAATTACTAAAACTCCATGTTCAAAATGTTTATTTTCTCGTAATGTATCGCAGGCTTTTTCCAAGTATACGAACACCCAATACAAACACCTGAACAGATGTTAACGGGTGTTGATATATCGGTGAAGATATTAGAACCTGGAATGACTTACTTGTTAAAATAAGAAAAAATATCCTTGCCTTGTCCAGCCCCTCCCTCTCTCCTTTCCTTCCTACTTCCCTTCGTCTCTACCTCCCTCCTTCCCTTTCTCTCTCAAGCCTCTCTCCACCTCCCCCTCCCGAAAGACAAGCTTTACAGGGGCACACACTCGAAAATATTACAGAAATCCCTAAGTTTTCCTTTGCTTTCGCCCCATTGGTCTGTGATATAAGGTTCCAGTAAACAGCAAACCTACGACTAGTGCTACAGTAAAACTGCTGATTGATAGACCCGATTCCAAAATCTTCAATATATCTTTGAAAACAATTTGGTTATTCGAGTATCTTCTTCCTTTCCCCGCCTCTTCCCCGCCTCTCCCCCGGAGCAAACGCTGGCATTGTTGATGCAACAATGAATCAATGTTGATAACGTCAATCCGACGTTGACTTTACGTTATACGAGTACGACTGGCGTGCTAGGTTATATTATATATGCATTTAATTTGTTAGAATATAAAATATCTAGCAGATGTACTATACCACTTTAATCGCAAATTGTATTTTCTACTTTTTCGCATTTTTAAATACAGTATAAATGTTGACCAGACCACACACTAGAAGGTGAAGGGACGACGACATTTCGGTCCATCCTGGACCATTCTCCAGGACGGACCGAAACGTCGTCGTCCCTTCAAATTCTAGTGTGTGGTCTGGTCAACATAATTTAGCCACGTTATTGTTACTCACTTTCATGATGTCATCGCCTGCACTGTATAAATGTCATACTGTATAAATGACTTCACTGTCATGGCAAAAATGCACTCGTTAATTCAACAAATAGCAAAATACTGATACTATTAAATACTATGTTACTGTGGCCAATAACGCCTCCAGGAACTGAACACTGTGGTCTGGTTCCTGGAATGTTTACAATCCTCGGTAAACCTTTCGTTGCACCTCCCAGAATGATCGTTGCAAGCTTAAAAGGCAACACTAAATTCAGAATTTTAATGTGTATTAGTTGGTAACCCATATCAAGACAATTAACCGCCTTTAACCACTGCATTAACTCAGGATTAATGGATTATAACGCAACGGTTCATCTGTTAGTTAGATATAGTTAAGGTAGATAGCAGTACATTGTTTAAAGGAGGCCCTTAGGGTACTTCTAAGGGCTTTATGTTCCCTTTTGGTTCTCACTTTGAGCGCTTGGATACATAGTTATAAAAGTATCTGTATGTACCTATGGTAATATACTGCATGTGTAAATGGTAGAAATGTATATATTTATCACTCGGAATGTCCCGTAATATGTTGATTGTAGTGTCTCTCTCTCTCATTATATTATATGTATATATATATATATATATATATATATATATATATATATATATATATATATATATATATATATATATAAATAAACACGTACTGAACGGGGTGATCATAGCTTGAGCTACCTCAATCTTTTGTGTGTATTTATACCTCAATAAACTTATTTGAATGGAATTTGAGCGCTTGGAAGCTCTTATTGACGGTAAAATGAGCAACACTATCACTGTATACGTCTATGTATGTATTCATCTAGTTGTGCTTGCGGGGGTTGAGATCTAGCTCTTTCGGCCCGCCTCTCAATTTTTTTCCACACACACACACACACACACAAAGCTCCCCCGTAACAGCTGTCTAACTCCCATATACCTATTTACTGCTAGGTGAACAGATGAATCAGGGTGAAAAACTATGACCCATTTGTCTCCACCATCGCCGAGATTACGGAATATCGCATACCTTAGGAATACGGAATACCAAGCGCTGTCCAT